ATAACAGAATGCTGAAATAAGGATACAGGGTGACCCATTGTACAAGACACTGTTGAAAAATGAACTTTACGGGGCTGGGAAGGTGGCTCAGTGGTAGAGCGCTTGCCTTGCATGCATGAGGCCCTGGGTTCGATTCCTTAGCACCATATAAGCAGAAAAAAAAGCCGGAAGTGGTGCTATGGCTCAAGTGGTAGTGTGCTAGCCTTGAGCTGAAGAGCTGAGGGACAACACCCAGGCCTAGAGTTCAGGCCCCCAAAAAAATGAACTTTACAACTTTGGTTGAGGAGGGGAGGGTGGAGTTGGGGAGGCATAGGGAAAGGATGGCAGGGGGAAAAATACAAAGGAGGAGGCAACAATGCTTGATAGAAAATGTACTCATTACCTTATTTATGTAACTGTAACCCCTCTGTACAGTATTTTTACAATAAAACACACACATATAAAATTTTGCTGCTGGCTAGTTGGAGATAAGAGTCTCTTAGGGGCTGGGTGGGAAGGTGGCTCAGTGGTAGAGTGCTTGCCTTGCATGTATGAGGCCCTGGGTTCCATTCCTCAGTACTACATAAGCCGGAAGTATTGCTGTGGCTCAAGTGGTAGAGCGCTAGCCTTGAGCTGAAGAGCTGAGGGACAGCGCCCAGGCCCAGAGTTCAGGCCTCATGACCGACAAAAAAAAAAAAAAAGTCTCTCATATTTATCTGCCTAGGTTGGCTTCAAACCTTAGGCTCAAACCTAGTCTTAGCCTTCTGAATAACTAGGATTATAGGCATGAACCATCAGTGCCTGACTAAGATATGTTATTATATTGCCTCCAATGGACTAAAACAGGTACCTTCAGGGTGTTCATTTTGGGAGGAACACCCCAGAAATGGAGCTGTGCCCCAGAGCATCACTTTAGGAGACACACGATAATCTCTGGTTATTAAAGATACCAAAGTAGTCTTTGCCAGATTTCTCTACTGTAAAGTCAAAATGTTCCCCTTTGCAATTAATAAGTAATTTGTGGAGAAATACTTTGAGACTCTATAAATATCTATTTCCTTATCAAATATTTAACTGGTTTTAACATCCATTGATTATTCTTGCCAGAATCAAGCATTACTATAATGATAGCAACATTTTAGTTTTTTTCAATGATTTTCTATTTTGTGGTTTCCCACAATAAAAAAAAAATCACATAGTTCATTAAATTTGGCTTGCAATGCTGTCCAACATTTACAAAACCATGTCGTTATTCCTGAATTATGGCTGTGAAAACAGGACATTTAGCATTATTTTATGCAATTTTTATTTATTTTGCCACATCTTGTGCTGAGTTTCTTGGAATATTCGTTCTTTGTTTCTACCAAAAGGAATAAATAGAATTGTGCCTCAAGAGAAACTGGATGAATAAAACAGAAGGCAGATATATTGGCTCCGCTATTTTCAGATACTGCTGAAAGTAATTTTAGAGCCATCTGTGGCCCGATTCTAATCTTTCATGTTCCACAGGTTTTCTCATGTGACTACGATGGCTAACAGCTATGTGGTTCTACAACATCTTCTAGGAGCTACCAGATCCAGGATGTTAGTTCAGTGTGTGCTTGTAGCTTGATTTCTCCAGCTCTAAGATGCCCTTTGCAAGCTAAGCATTGGTAGCTCATGCCTAGAATCCTAGCTATTCAGGAGGCTGAGATCTAAGGATCCAGGTTAGAAGCCAACACTAGCAGACAAATCCTCGAGATTCAAGTGGTAAAGCACCAATCAGAAGTGTGAGCCTTGGGGTTCTAGCCCAGTACTGGAGGAAGGAGGGAAGGCAGGAAGGCAGGAAGGAAGGCAGGAAGGCAGGAAGGAAGGCAGGAAGGAAGGCAGGAAGGAAGGGAGGGAGGGAGGGAGGGAGGGAGGGAGGGAGGGAGGGAGAAAGAGGAGTTGTGAATATAGTTTAGTGGTAGAGTGCTTGCCCAGCATGCATGAAGTCCTGGATTAGATCCTCAATACCACATAAGCAGAAAAAGCCAGAAGTGGCACTGTGGTTCAAGTGGTAGAGTGGTAGCCTTGAGCAAAAGCAGTTCAGGGGCACTGCTCAGGCCCTGAGTTCAAGCCCCAGGACTGGCAGAAGAAAGAAAGAGAGAGAGAGAGAAAGAAAGAGAGAGAGAGAGAGGGAGGGAGGGAAAAGAGAGAGGGAGATTTGGGAGGGAGGGAAAGGGAAGGAGGCGAGGGAAGGAGGGAGGTGAGGAAGGAGGAAACAAGGAGAGAAGGAACGACAAGAAAGGAAGGAAAGCCAATCCTCTTCAAAAAAAAAAGGTTACATCTCAGATTGGAGGAAATGAAGATGTAACTTCTGTGTATGCCATGTTGTCCTGGAGTGGATTCTAGTCCGGTAGGACTTCAACAGGACAAGTGACAAAATACAGTCTGTACAACACGATGATCTCAAATCATGTTCTAAAGCTGGGAGATGCCACCAACTCGATGCAGATCCGGGGATTTTTCTCTTCCAATGTCAGCAGAACAGTTGGCCATGAATCCGCCTTTCCTGCCTCTCACACATATCTATCTCCACACTGTGATTTATGTTCCTGAACAAATGAGACTTAATTTAAGAGCAAATCATCAGCAACAGGTATAATAATCTTGGCAGAACATTTATTTTAATTAATTGCTTTCTGCCTAACATAGATAGAAGGATGTTAGTGCCATTTACCCTTATAAGGATTAGTGCTGTCATGTAATTAATTTTTTTTCTTCCCCTAGAACTTAAAAGTCTCATCAGTTTTAAATTACAAAGGCACTGGTTGACTTCCTATTTAATCATAACAATCTAACTTCTGTGGCAATGTTTACATAAGATTCTTGGGAAAGAGAAATGGTGTCCAACTACTCTGTCGTTATGGATACCTGCTCCCTTACATAGATCCAGCTGGGCTTATGGGGATCAAAGCAGGAACTGGTCTGGGCTAGGCTATATCCTCCCTCCATAGACCTGGCAGGGACAGGGGATCAGCTTCATTATTATTGTGTGTGTGTGTGTGTGTGCATACATATGTTCTTGTACCTGGGCTTGAACTCAGGGCCTGAGTGCTATCCTTGAGCTTCTTTGTGCTCAAGGCTACCACTCTACCACTTGAGCCACAGCACCACTTCTAGCTTTTTTGGTGGTTAATTGGAACTAAGAGACTCACAGACTTTTCCTGCTAAGGCTGGCTTTGAACCACAATCCTCAGATCTCAACCTCCTGACTATCTAGGATTATAGGTATGAGCCAATGGTGCCTAGCTCATTATGATGATGATGATGATGTGTGTCTTCATGCTAATACTAGGCTTGAACTCAGGGCCTGGGGGCTGTCCCTGAGCTTTTTCACTCAAGACTAATGCTCTAACACTTGAACCACAGCTCAACTTTCAGTTCTGGTGGTTAACTGGAGGTAAGTGTCTCACAGACTTTCTTGCCCGGGCTGGCTTCAAATTATAATCCTCAGATCTCAGCCTCCTGAGTAGCTAGGATTTGCAAGTGTGAGCCACTGACACTGGGCTAGCTTTATTATTTTTTTTATTTTTTGCCAGTCCTAGGGCTTGAATTCAGGGCCTAGGCACTGTCCCTGAGCTTCTTTTTGCTCAATGCTAGCACTCTATCACTAGAGCCACAACGCCACTTCCAGCCTTTTCTGTTTATATTGTACTGAGGAATTAAACCAAGGGCTTCATTCATCCTAGGTAAGCACTCTACCACTATAGCTTTATTATTTATACTTCAATGGAGACAATAAGGAAACAATTTTTCTCCATCATGTGGAGAAATAATTGTCTAAAATATCTGTCAAAAAGTTGTAGAAAACAGGGCTGGGAAGGTGGCTCAGTGGTAGAGCACTTGCCTTGCATGCCTGAGGCCCTAGGTTCAATTCCTCAGCACCACATAAGCAAAAAGAAAAAAGCCGGAAGTAGTGCTGTGGCTCAAGTGGAAGAGCGCTAGCCTTGAGCTGAAGAGCTGAGGGACAGCGCCCAGGCCCAGAGTTCAGGCCCCACCACTGGACCCCCCCCCCCCAAAAAAAAAAAGTGGTAGAAAACACAATACACTCAATTTTTTTCCAAATTAACAAGTTCAGTATTATTTGTAAGTGGTCTGACGATGTTTCTAAAAAAGAGGCAGAAATAGCTAAAAATGAAACTTAAGGAACTTTCCAGGGGAAGGGCTAAACAGCCATAACTAAAATGTTTTCACTATATAAACATAAAAATTATACTATATGTCACTAGAAATAAAACTGTATGCTGGGTTCTGGTGGCTCACGCCTGTAATCCTAGCTTCTCAGGAGGCTGAGATCTGAGGATTGCAGTTCAAAGCCATCCGAGGCAGGAAAGTCCACGAAACTCATCCCCAATTAACCACCAGGAAACCAGAAGTGGTGCTGTGGCTCAAAGTAGTAGAGTGAAAAAGCTCAGGGAGAGAATCCAGCCCCTGAGTTCAAGCCCTACAACCAATAGAAAGAAAAAAAAAGAAAACTGTAATTGTGAGCTTTTACCTTTGATAGTCCATCATATTCCATTATTAGTTATTTGTCTTTTCAAACAGGACAGGGAAATTGAAGTCTTTCCTATATAGTCAAATACAACTTGAACTCAGGACCTGGGGGTTGTTCCTGAGCTTTTTTGCAAAAGGCTAGTACTCTATTACCCCAGCCATTGCTCTACTTCCAGCTTTTTTTGGTGGTTACTTGGAGATAAGAATCTCACAGACTTCCCTGACTGGACTGGCTTTGAACCACAACCTTGGGATTTCAGCTTCCTGAGTAGCTAGGATTACAGGCGTGAGCACCTAGTGCTGGGCTGTCAAATATATCACCATGTGTTTTCTGTAAGTTCAGTTACCTTCCTTATACCAATACTGACTGCTAGGAGGCAGTTAGGATACACACATGTACAAACTACCATGAAACCCTTGACAGAAAAACAAGGCCTGACTGATGAAATCACAGCCTACTAATTACATGTCAAAATACACATTTAGTATTCAATTAACACAAATTTGGAATCATTAGCTTTATTTGTCACTCTTTATACACATTGGTCCACTTTCACATGAAAAGTACAAATCATCCATTTTCACTTAATATTTCATAGAATGTAGTTGTACCACAAACCATAGAAACTTCACAGAGGGAAAGTTACTGAAATCACAATATTTTATATTCATGCTTCAAGATATTCCTTAAAAAGCTGGCTTCATATAGGCTCATTACAACCATCCATACTCCACAAAGCTGGTCTTTCCTTCAATCATCATAGTACATATCTTTACTTTCCTTTTGGGACAGACTAGGGCTTGAATTCAGAGTCTTGCACTGTTACTTAGCTTTTGAGCTCAAAGCTAGTGCTCTACCACTTGAGCTAGAGCTCCACTTTCACGGTTTTTGCTGGTTCATTAGAGATAAGAATCTCACCCGGCCCAGCACAGTATTTTTAATACCTTTATTAAAACTATACAGATCACTAAACTTGCAGAAATGGTTGAAAAAAAAAACAGCCATTTTGTCAATCAGTTCTAAAATCCAATGATTGTAGGAACACATCCAGTAATTTTAGGCCTGCTCTAAATTTAAAAGCTTTTCTCTTGTCTCAGAGATATTTACATCAAATTAAGACATTTACAAATAGCTCATAAAATACGACAGTGAAAGATAATTTTCATTAGCCTACGTGAGAAAATGAAGCATTCCTAAGGTCTCTAATAAACTCAGTGCATTTTCCAACATAAATAACAAGCTATTGTAAGTGGTTTATGTTTCTTTCAGTGCATTCTCCACATTTATTAAACGGAATGTCATTACATTATTATATGGCTATATCATAAAATTTGAGCATAATATAGAGTCTATATCACAGAATTCAGCTCACAGCAATACCATAATTCAATCTAAAAAAAGCCCCAACAGACACACAAAAAATAGAGAACAAAAATTCGCCGTTGTTTTTCATTTTGATAAATTTAAGATACATTATCTATACTTTAGACCACACTACAAGACGTATTAGAAGAAAATGACCCATTTCCATACTCCTTGTGTATGTATGTATGATGTAAGGAAAGTTCAGTCCATTCGAATTTTCTGATTTGTCATCCGATAAATGATGCTGTCATACCCAGGGTCCATGTTCCAAATGTTGTAGGAGGTTATAAGGACCGCCAGGGCCAAGGCAATCATCAACCAAAGTACCAGGTTGAAAATCACCGAATACTCAAAATTGTACTTGTATGCCAGGTTATAGGGAACGACTTCCTTCTATAAGAAAGAAAAGAAGGAGAAAGAAAATCAAGGAAGAATTTCAGATAAAACATTATTCTAGTGTTAGTGGCTATGACTCATCCTCTAATAAACACATTCATAAATGACATAAGAACACCTTATGGGAGGAGGAAGCCGGAAGGGAGCTTCCTGCTGATGACACTAGCAGCACTGGTGGGAGTATAGAACCAGTCCAACTGCTTGAGAATACTGGTGATACCTAATGCAGGTGAAGGTATGCCAAGCTTGTGAGCTAGTAAGGCTGTCCCTTAGAACACTTTTTTTTTTTTTGTCAGTTATGGGACTTGAACCCAGGGACTGGGCACTGTCCCTGAGCTCTTTGGCTCAAGGCTAGTGCTCTACCACTTTGAGCCACTTCTGGTTTTATGGTGATTAATTAGAGATAAGAATCTCACAGACTTTCCTGCCCAGGCTGCCTTTGAACCGCAATCCTCAAATCTCAGCCTCCTGAGTACTTAGAATCACAGGCGTAATGCCAGGCCTACTCATTCTTTGACTGCAGCTGAGCGCCCGTGGCTCACACCTGTAATCCTAGCTACTCAGTAGGCTGAGATCTGAGGATCACGGTTCAAAGCCAGCCCAGGTAGCAACATCCGTGAGACTCTTATCTCCAATAAACCACTAGAAAACTGGAAGTGGCGCTGTGGCTCAAGCGATAGAGCGCTCGCCTTGAGCTGAAGAGCACTCGCCTTGAGCTGAAGAGCGCTGGGACAGCACCCAGGCCCAGAGTTCAAGCCCCACAACAGACAAAAAACAAAACAAGTATTATCTTAAAACAACATGGTGTTGCCAGGTGCCAGTGGCTCATACCTCCTAGCTACTCAGAAGGCTAAGATCTAAAGATCATGGTTTGAAGCCAGCCCTGAAAGGAAAGTCTGTGAAACTCTTATCTCCAATTAACCACCAAAAAACCAGAAGTGGAGCAATGGCTCAAAGTGGTAGAAGCTAACCTTAAAAGAAACTCAGGGACAGCATCCAGGCCCAGAGTTCCAGCCCCGGGATCAGTGGCACACACACACACATACAGGAAAAAAGAAAAAAATTAAAAACTATATGGTGTCAATACAGGTTATATTCTTTAGATAATTCTGTTCAATGTTATAGACCCAAATACATATTATGATCTACTTAAAATTCTCTTAGAGTGGAAAACAGGTGACTTTTCAATCACCTCCTTGCTGTTGGAGCGCCATCCTCCAGGCCTTAGAGGTGAAGCTCCATTCCAGGCCTGTACAAAGGCACTGCCTGAGAAAGTCAATCATTCCTTCTGGCCGGAGAAGCAGGGCAGTGATGACAACCACTCAGCAAAGTTCAGGCATTAGTGAGCAAGACAATCATGTTTAACTTAAAAACAAGCCAGGTGCTGGCGGCTCATGCCTAAAATCCTAACTACTCAGGAGGCTGAGATCTGAGAATCAAAGTTCAAAATCAGCCCAGGTAGGAAAATCCATGAGAATCTTTTTTTTTTTTTTTGGGTCCAGTCGTGGGGCCTGAACTCTGGGCCTGGGCGCTGTCCCTCAGCTCTTCAGCTCAAGGCTAGCGCTCTACCACTTGAGCCACAACGCCACTTCCGGCTTTTTTCTTTTTGCTTATGTGGTGCTGAGGAATCGAACCCAGGGCCTCAGGCATGCAAGGCAAGCGCTCTACCACTGAGCCACCTTCCCAGCCCCATCCATGAGACTCTTTTTTTTTTTTTTTTTTTGTCGGTCATGGGGCTTGAACTCTGGGCCTGGGCGCTGTCCCTCAGCTCTTCAGCTCAAGGCGAGCGCTCTACCACTTGAGCTACAGCGCCACTTCCGGTTTTCTGGTGGTTTATTGGAGATAGGAGTCTCACGGTCTCTCCTGCCCGGGCTGGCTTTGAACCGCGATCCTCAGATCTCAGCCTCCTGAGTAGCTAGGATTACAGGCGTGAGCCACCAGCACCCGGCTCCATGAGACTCTTATCTCCACTAAATTACCAAAAAAAAAAAAAAAAGCCAGAAATGGTGAAGTGGCTCAAAGTGGTAGAGCCATCAGCCTTGAGCAAAAAAGCACAGGGACAGTGTCCAGGCCCCAAGTTCGAGCTCCAGGACTGGCACCAAAAAATAAAACAAAAAAAAATCTTTTAAGGGCTTAGATTGTGTATGTGAAGTGTTAACTTACTACCTTCACATTACCTAACATACAGTAACTTGAGAAACTTCTTTGTCACAAACGCAAGTTTTGTATTAAGGCAGCAGACTAATGAAGTCTAGCTAGCATCTCAGAGAGGACATGTGCTTAGGGCTGGTATACCTCTCCTCTCTGCAGTCACTTTTTTTTTTGCTGGTCCTGAGGCTTGAATTCAGGGCCTGGGCACTATCTCTGAGCTTCCTTTGCTCAAGGCTAGTGTTCTACCACTTGAGCCACAGTGCCACTTCTGGTTTTCTGGTGGTTAAATGGAGATAAAAGTATTACAGGCTTTTCTGTCCAGGCTGGCTTGAATCGTGATCCTCAGATCTCAGCCTACTGAGTAGCTAGCATTACAGGTGTGAGCCACGGGCGCTCAGCTGCAGTCAAAGAATGAGTAGGCCTGGCATAGCAATATGGAAAAACAATCGAGTACTTAATTCAAATCTGTCTTTAGGAGCTGGGAAGGTGGCTCAGTGGTAGAGCACTTGCCTTGCATGCATGAGGCCCTGGACTTGATTCCTCAGCACCACATAATCAGAAAAAGCTGGAAGTGGCGCTGTGGCTCAATGGTAGAGTGCTAGCCTTGAGCTGAAGAGCTGAGGGACAGCGCCCAGGCTCTGAGTTCAAGCCCCACAACCGACAAAAAAATTAAAAAAAAAAAAAATCTGTCTTTAAATAAAAGTTTGACTTTCTGGTTTAGCTCTTGTTTCAATTCTGAGTAAACTGTTATTGGATGGTTTACCTCCCTTGGTATTATTATTTAATGTTTTGGGGATATAATTTTTCTATTTGTTTGCATTTGCTAAGTTGCACTTAATAGTGAATTAGCCCTGTTGATGTTTTACAGGTTTTTGAGTGCAGGTTTGGTGAGTTTAGTTGATGATTGCCCTTCCCCTGTGACTTGTACTGAAGGTGAGCCTTGCTGGAGGATTTATATTTATATTTTCCTAAATTCCACAGCTATGGCAACCAGTGTGGGACCAGGTTTTTATGTCTTATGTTGGCTGGGGGTTTTGTAACACATATAAATAATATAAAATTTGAGCTTCAACCCACATGAAGGGAGCCCTGTGGTTAAGAATTTCCTAAAGCAAGGTGCCAGTGGCTCATACCTATAATCCTAGCTACTCAAGAAGCTGAGCTATAAGGGTTGCAGTTCAAAGCCAGCCTGGGCAGGAAAGTCCATGAGACTCTGGGAATGTGGCTTAGAGGTAGAGTGCTTGCCTAGCATGCGTGAAGCCCTGTGTTCGATTCCTCAGTAGCACATATACAGAAAAAGCTGGAAGTGGCACTGTGGCTCAAGTGTAGAGTGCTAGGCTTTAGCAAAAAGCTCAGGGACAGTGCCCAGTCCCTGAGTTCAAGCCCCAAGACTGGCCAAAAAAAAGAAAAAGCCAGAAGTGGCACTGTGGCTCAAGTGGTAGAGTGCTAGCCTTGAGTGAAAAAGCTAAGTCCCAGTAACAGTAACAGCACCAAATGAAAAACAAAAATCACAGAAAAGAGAAAGTAGAGAGATTTCCTAGCAATCATGAGGTCCTGAGTTCAAATCCTAGAACCATTTAAAAAATTCCTTAGGAAGCCGGGTGCTGGTGGCTCACGCCTGTAATCCTAGCTACTCAGGAGGCTGAGATCTGAGGATCGCGGTTCAAAGCCCGCCCGGGCAGGAGAGACCGTGAGACTCCTATCTCCAATAAACCACCAGAAAACCGGAAGTGGCGCTGTAGCTCAAGTGGTAGAGCGCTCGCCTTGAGCTGAAGAGCTGAGGGACAGCGCCCAGGCCCAGAGTTCAAGCCCCATGACCGACCAAAAAAAAAAAAAAATTCCTTAGGAAAACAGAGCTTAGAGATAGAAAGAACCACACATGACACTGTGACAAATTGAAAGACCCACTCCCTCACATCAACCTTTTTACTTGTGGTGATCCTGGGACATGAACTTAGGACCTGGGCATTGTCCTTGAGCTTTTTTGTTCTTGGCTAGCACTCTACTGCTTGAGCCACAACTCTACTTCTGGCTCCTTGGTAGTTAATTAGAGATAGAGTCCCATGGACTTTCCTGTCCATGCTGGCTTTGAACTTCAATCCTTTCATCTCAGTCTGCTGAGTGGCTAGGATTATAGGCATGAGCCACCAGAACCCAGTCACATCAAGTTTTGATGTCTCCTTATGTACACCAATATTTCAATTATCTTACTGCATCTGACAGATTTACTTTTATTTCTAACTCCAAATTCTTGTATTACCTGCCGACAACCCTAAAGAACTAAGTCATTACTGATAGGTGGTAAGGAATAACTCACTGACTGCTAATTCACATCATTTATAGGATTGCACTAAAAAATAAGTTCATTTCGTAGGTTTTTTTAAGCAGACAGAGCAAGTTTATTTTATTTTTTTGGGTCAGTCCTGGGGCTTGAGCTCAGGGCCTGGGTACTGCCCCTGAGCTTGCTTTGCTCAAGGCTAGTGCTCTACCACTTTGAGCCACAGCACCACTTCGGTTTTCTGGTGGTTAATTGGAGATCAGAGTCTCACCGCCTTTCCTACCTGGGCTGGCTTTGAACTGTGATCCTCAGATCTCAGCCACCTGAGTAGCTAGGATTACTAAGCTTGAGCCACTGGTGCTCAGCTTAAGCAAGTTTATTTCAAAGTAAAGTGGAAGTAGCAAAAGACTCTCCGAAGCCAGGGTGGAGAGGATAGGGTGGGGTGGGGGTGGGGTAGTGAGGCCAATGAAGTCCTCTTAGAGAGCTGTCAGTAAGGAACGGGCCGCCTTCTGCATCTCCTGTTTCAGTTTTAAAGGAGGGTTGAAAATGTACTCACCTCTGCTTTTGCCTCAAGGATAGTCCTGGTCTTCCTTACCAGGGACGTGTCAAATGACTTGATTGTTACTAATTCTACCACTGCATTCCCTCCATAAAGATTGTACATGTCATCTGCAAACTGAAAAGTCAGTCAGTGACATTAGTAGGAATCTCAAATTCATGCTTTTTGCTTTCCCTTGTATTTCTTAACTGACAAAGAAAAAAATCACAAACAATTGTCACTCAGTATCCATACAGGATTGCTTCCAGCACACGCTCCAGATTCCAAAACTAACATATGCTTGTCTCTGCTTTTTTTTTGGGGGGGAGGCTGGTTATATAGGGCTTGAACTCAGGGCCTGGGCACTGTCCCTGAGCCTCTTTGTACTCAAGGCCAGCACTCTACCACTTGAGCCACACTGCCACCTTCAGCTTTTTCTGAGTAGTTTATTGGATAAGAGTTTCACGGGCTTTTCTTCCCGGGTTGGCTTTGCCAGTCTAGGGGCTTGGGGCCTGGGCATTGTCCCTAAGCTTCTTTTGCTCAAGGCTAGCTACTCTACCACTTAAGTCACAGAGCCACTTCTGGCTTTTTTTTCTGTTTATGTGGTACTGAGGAATTGAACCCAGGGCTTCATACATGCTAGGCAAGGATTCTACCACTAAGCCATATTCCTAGCCCCAATATCTCAGCCTCTTTAGTAGCTAGGATTGTAGACATGAGTCACCGAAATCTGGCTTAAGTCTCTTAATAAAATGATATAGGACTTTCATAGCCCCTATGCATTGCATTCTATATAGTTGAAATCACCTCTGGAGAACTTATGCTACCTAAACCACTGTAAATACTATATAGATTAGTTGTCACGCTGTATTGTTTATGGAATAATGGCAAGAAATACCAGATATAAGTATTTGTTATGCACAAAATATTGTTTTAAAATATGAACACAGGCAGGTACCAGTGAATCCTGTAATCCTAGTGAATCTGGAGCTTGAGATCTGAGGATAATAGCTCAAAGCCAGCCTGGGCAGGAAAATTCATAGACTATTTTTTTTTTTGTCTGTTGTGGGGCTTGAACTCTGGGCTTGGGCACTGTCCCTCAGTCTTCAGCTCAAGGCGAACACTCTACTGATTGAGCCACAACACCACTTCCGGCTTTCTAGTGATTTTATTGGAGATAAGAGTCTCACGACTTTCCTGCTGGGGCTGGCTTTGAACCATGATCCTCAGATCTCAACCTCCTGAGTAGCTAGGATTACAGGCGTGAGCCACTGGCACTTGGTTCCATAGGCTCTTATCTCCAATTAATCATCAGAAAACTGGAAGTGAGCTGTGGCTCAAAGTGGTAGAGCACTGGCCTTGCGCAAAAAGAGCTCAGTGCCTACACCCTGAGTTCAAGCCCAACAACCAACCAATATACATATATATATATATATATATGTGTGTTTGTGTTATATGAATATATATGTGTTTTATATATATATGTATACATTGTGGAATGGATAAATCAAGGCAATTAACATATGCCCTGTGGCAAGTCAAATACATACTTTGTAGAATTACTTGGAAAGCTCCTGGGAAGCCATGACAGTAACATGCAATCACTTATTGGCTCCTGATGTATGGCTGAGTCTAAAATAGAGAAGTCTTGCCAGGCGCTGATGGCTCAAGCCTGTAATCCTAGCTTCTCAGGAGGCTGACATCTGAAGATCACGGTTCAAAGCCAGCCTGGGCAGGAAAGTCCATGACAATCTTATCTCCAATAAACCACTAGAAAACCAGAAGTGGAGCTGTGGCTCAAGTGGTAGAGTGCTTGCCTTGAGCTGAAGAGCGCAGGGACAGCACCCAAGCCCAGAGTTCAAGCCCCGTGACCGACCAAAAAATAAAATAAAATAGAGAAGTCTTATAGACTTTGAATATGTTACAATACTCAGAAAAATGTTAAGTTTTCATATATATTCAACTGTTGAAAATAAAATTACTTTTAGACAATACTGCAAGCTGGGTGCTGGTTGCTCATGCCTATAATCCTAGCTACTCAGGGGGATGAGATCTGGGATGGCAGAAGGAAGAATTCTGCCTAAGCAGTGTATGATTCATCACAAACATCTATAAAGATGTATGCATGAAGCTTCACTGAAGAAGTATGCTGAGTTGAGCTGGGAATGTGGCTTAGTGGTAGAGTGCTTGCCTAGTATGCATGAAGCCCTGGGTTTGATTCCTCAGTACCACATACACAGAAAAAGCTGGAAGTGGTGCTGTGTCTCAAGTGGTAGAGCTCCAGCCTTGAGCACAGGAAGGCTCAGAGATAGGGTCCAGGGTCTTAGTTCAAGCCTAGGATTAGCAAAAAAAAAGAAAAAAAGGAAGGAAGGAAGGAGGAGGGAGGGAGAAAGAGAAAGGAGAGAAACAAACAGAGAAAGTGAGAGAGGAGAAGGAGGGAGAGAAAAGAAAAGAAACCTGGGCACTGGTGGCTCACACCTGTAATTTTACTCAGTTGGCTAAGATCTAAGCATTGTGGTTTGAAGCTAGCTCAGTGGGAAAAATCTGAGGGACTCTAATCTCCAATTAACCACCAAAAAGCTGGAAGTGGGGTTGTGTCTCAAGCAGTAGAGCTCCAGCCTTGAGAAAAAAAAGCTGAGCAACAGCATCCATGCCGTAAGTTTAAGCTGCAGTACTAGCACAAGAAAGAAAGAGAAAGAAAGAAAGAAAGAAAGAAAGAAAGAAAGAAAGAAAGAAAGAAAGAAAGAAAGAAAGAAAGAAAGAAAGAAAGAAAGAAAGAAAGGAGGGAAGGAGGGAGGGAGGGAGGGAGGGAGGGAGGAGAGTAGACAGAGAGAAAATAAGAAAAGAAAGTGAGAAAGAAAAAGAAGGAAAGAAAGAAAGAAGGAAGGAAGGAAGGAAGGAAGGAAGGAAGGAAGGAAGGAAGGAAGGAAAGAAGGAGACTTCAATCAATACTTTTGCATACAAGACTTTTCCAGTGAGGAACTAAAGTGAAATGGCCACCCTACAATCTCTTTCACCACACTGTTAGTTACCTTTTGTAGAGCATCAACAAGGATCCTGGAAGCTTCTCTGAATTGTTCTGAGTCTTCTCCATAATGCTTCCCAATCTCATCCAGACCTGCTAGCTCCAGTGAATACAAATCAGGAGAATGATCCTTGGCTAAGTGCTTGTGACGAGATAACTTAGGAGAACAAACAAATAAAAAATAAGTTGGCTAGGAATGTGGTTTAGTGGTAGAGTGCTTGCCTAGCATGCAAGAAGTCCTGGGTTCAATTCCTCAGTACCATATGAACAGAAAAAGCCAGAAGTGGTACTCTAGCTCAAGTGGTAGAGTGGCTAGCTTTGAGCAAAAGAAGCTCAGGGACAATGCCTGAGTTCAAGCCCCAGGACTGGCAAAAAAAATAGGAAGTAAAGTAAGTTGCCCACAGTCAAAGGTTTATGCCTGAAGAAACAGGTTATCATAGAACACACAAGTAGACAGAAGTATGCAATCTAAAGAGAACTGACTAAAATGGGAGTTTCTAATCTAACAAACCTCATCTTGAGGAATTTATTAAATAAAAGCTTAGCCAGGCACCGGTGGCTTACACCTAGAATCCTAGCTACTCAGGAGGCTGAATTCTGAGGATCAAATCCAGCTGGGGCAGGAAAGTCTGTGAGACTCTTATCTCCAATTAACTACCAGAAAACTGGAAGTGGCACTGTAGGTCAAGTAGTAGAGAGCTCACTGAAGAGCTCAGGGACAGTGCCCAGGCCCTGAGTTCAAGCATCAGGGCTGGCAAAAAAAAAATATTCACTTAGCTGTTAGTTGTGCACTGGTGGCTCATGCCTATAATCCTAGCTACTCAGGAGGCTGAGATCTGAGGATCGTGGTTCAAAGCCAGCCCAGCAGGAAACTGCAGGAGATTAATACCCCCAACAAACTACTCAAAAAGTTGGAAGTGACTCTGTGGCTCAAGTGGTAGAGTGCTAGCTTTGAGCACAGAGACGCTCAGGCACAGTGCCCAGGCCCTGAGATCAAGCCCCAGGACCAGCAGAACAAAAAAGAATATTCACCACCCAAATTGCTTTGAGATGGTTTTTATTCCCTTCTTGAATTAGTTGACAGGTTTATTATTTCAGTGTTCAATCCAAAGCTATAGACATAGGAATTAAGCCTTCATGTCTGCCAAGAAATCAGTGGCTAAATTTGAATTACAGCCAGGACACTCTTTCTACCAGGCTTGTGTTCTTGGAGGCTAAACTGTCTCTCCCAAGGGCAGAATTGCAAAAGAACAAAATGCTAGCAAGAGATGTGTTCAAAGTTTCCGCCACCAGCCATGTGCTGGTGGTCATGCCTATAATCCTAGCTACTCAAGAGGCTGAGATCTGAGGATTGCAGTTCAAAGCCAGGTTGGGCAGTTAAGTCTGTGAGCCTCTTATCTCCAAATAACCACTAGAAAACTGGAAGTAGAGTTGAGGCTTAAAGTGCTAGAATGCTAGCTTTGAGCAGAAAAGCTCAGGGACTACACCCAGATCCTGATTTCAAGCCTGAGAACCCACAAATTTTTCTACTGCCACCATCACCACTAATTTCTCCATTTCAATGGGATCATAAATGTAAAGAATCTCCACTGGCTGCACTATCAATAAAAGAGTCTCTACATAGGAAAATACAAGGAGTTGGATACAGGTAGCTCATGCTTATAATCCTAGTAACTCAGAAGGCTGAAATTGGAGCATTGTGGTTTGAAGGCAGCCCAGGCAGGAAAGTCCATGAGATTCTTATCTCCAATTAACCACAAAAAGTTGGAAGTGGAGCTGTGGCTCAAGTGGTACAGTGCCAGTCTCAAGCAAAAAAAAAAAAAATCCCTCAGGAGTAGCACACAGGCTCTAGGTTCAAGCCCTGGTACTGGCATTAACTTACTAACTGAATAAATACATAAATAAACAAACAAATAAATAAATGGAATTGAACAACCTGAGCAGTTTACTTACCAAACTTGAAATATCATGGAGCACTTGTAGTTCAGAAAGAAAGAGCAGGTCAACCTTCAGCAAAACAAAAAAAAACAAAAGAAAAAAAGCATTCTTCTCTCTCTCTCTCTCCATCTATCTATATATATACACACACACATATATACATATATATATATTAAAAGTAGTTGTACAAAGGAGTTGCCATTCAACAGAGCTATTTATGAATACAGTGCCTCTTGATCATTGTCACCCTTTTAACATTTTTGCAAGAAGAGAGACAAGGGGAGAGGGGTAGAAGAATGAATGGGGAAATGAGCAGAATGCATTGTGTATGCCATAGAATCAAAAAAAGTAAGGGAAGGAAGGGGTGGGCCAAAGGGGTCAAAGATATTGAAGAAATGACTCAGATCAAGATGCACTGTATACAAAAAAAAAAAAAAAGCCACGCAATGGTGGCTCACGCCTGTAATCCTAGCTACTCAGGAGGCTGAATTCTGAGGATCCAGGTTTGAAGCCAGCCCGGGCAGGAAGGTCCATGAGACTCTTATCTCCAATAAACCACCAGAAAACTGGAAGTGGTGCTGTGGCTCAAGTGGCAGAGCTCTTGTCTTGAGCTGAAGAGCTCAGGGACAAAGCCCAGGCCCAGAGTTCAAGCCCCACGACCAACAAAAAAACAAAACAAAACAACACCCCCCCCCCAAAAAAAAAACAAACCTGCTTTGTTAAATGGCAAAAACTTCAATACATAACCGAATAATTAAGCATTCTTTTAAATATTCAGGAGCTAGATGTAATCCTAGCTACTGAGATCTGAGGATCATGATTTGAAGCTAATCTGGGCAGAAAAGTCCATGAGACTCTTATCTCTTAAACACACACACCCATACCCACACCCACACAGGCCACAAAACAACTACAAAAAAAGCCAGAAGTGGAACTGTGGCTCAAGTGGTAGAGCGCTAGCCTTGAGCAAAAAAAGCTCAGGGAGAGTGTCCAGGCTATGGGACAGGCATAAAAAAATATACCTGGGATATCTATATTTGCCATTAATCAAATCAAGCACAATGTATTACAATGATTAACCCCCTAAGTGAATTTAAACCATTTTTCTGCCTTTGGTAGGTTTTACTGCACTGAACTATTGGGCTAGGGGTGCAGTTTGGTATGGGACATTTGCCTATAGTGTATGCCAGGCCCTGGATTCCATCCCTAGCATCAGAAAAAACATACATATGAACAAAGCATTGCTTCCTAATAAAAAGGTGATAACCAGCTGGGCGCTGGTGGCTCACACCTGTAATCCTAGCTACTCAGTAGGCTGAGATCTGAGGATTGCAGTTAGAAGCCAACCTGGGCAGAAAAGTCTGTAAGACTTTTATCACTGATAAACTACTCAAAAAAGTCAGAAGTGGCGCTGTGGTTCAAGTGGTAGAGTGCTTGCCTTGAGCAAAAGAAGCTCAGGGACAGCACTCAGGCCCAGAGTTCAAGCTCCAGGACTATCAAAAAAGAAAAAGAAAAAATATACTAATGGAAGAATCTACTGCAAGGGGAAATCTGTACAACTTTCTATTGTCTCAACCTTCAGAATTTATACAATTTTTTTTTAAAAAAAGGAACGATATCCATTTCACCCAACTGATGCCCCTACTTACTTCATTGTTCCTACTCAGAGAATTGAGAGGAAGTGAATTGAGAATAGAGTTTTCTTGAAACAGGCGATTCCGGAGTTGTCGTAAAGTGACTGAAAGATCTTCAAAAACGGAGTTAGCCTTCCCCACCATATACACCCTCTGCAAGAAGAATACAGGGTTGTAAGCTGAACTGTCAACCAACACAGAAATACCTTACAGCAATATTCATATTAGTTTTCAACTCTTTTGTGCCAGTCCTGGGGATTGAACTCAGCTGTCCCTTAGCTTTTTTTTTTTTTTTTGCTCATGGCTGGTGCTCTACTATTTGAGCCACAGCTCTATTTTAAGCTTTTTTGCTGGATAATTGGGCCTAAGAGTCTCACAGATTTGTTTGCTGCTGGTAGTCCTGAACTGTGATTCTCAGATCTCAGTCTCCTGAGTAGCTAGGATGATAGGCATGAACAAGCAGCACCCAACATTTTTCAATTCTCGTTAAAAAATGAAAGCTTATTATTTTTTGTCAGTCGTGGGGCTTGAACTCAGGGTCTGGGCACTGTCCCTGCGCTCTTTCGCTCAAGGCTAGAACTCTACCACTTTGAGCCACAGAGCCACTTCTGGATTTTTTGAAGATTAATTGGAGATAAACGGCTCACGGAGACTTTTCAGCCCAGGCTGGCTTTGAACCCTGATCCTCAGATCTCAGCCTCCTGAGTAGCTAGGATTATAGGCATGAGCTACCAATGCCTGGCATAAAGTTAATTTTTTCTAAGACATCTTAAATACAAAGTTTATTTTATGTAACTATAACCCCTTTGTATACGACTTTTATAGTAATAATTAAATAAAAATTTTAAATACAAAGTTTATCACTTACTTCCTCACTGGGAGCCAACTGCAAGACTACAGGAGTTTCTTCAGAGAATAAAGAATGAATGGAATTTGCAACACTGTCAAGACTAAAAGGAACTGCCTGAAATTAAAGAGTAAAAGTACAATTATATCCTGAAACAAAGTAAGGAAATCATTTAGATGTTATTAAGAAAGGAGAGTAAGCCAGGCACTGGTAGTTCATGCCTATAATCCCAGCTACTCAGGAGGCTGAGATAAAGGGCTTGAACTCAGGGCCTGGGCACTGTCCCTGAGCCTCTCTGTGCTCAAGGCTAGGGCTCTATCACTTGAGCCAAAGTATCACTTCCAGCTTTTTCTGAGTAGTTTCTTGGAGATAAGAGTCTCACAGACTTTCCTGCCTGGGCTGACTTTGAACCATGAGCTTCAGATCTCAGCCTCCTGAGTAGCTAGGATTACTAGCTACTCCATGGTGTGAGCCACTGGTGCCTGGCTGTTTTTTTCCTTTTAATGGGGATTTCTTTAATGGAGATCTCTTTTTTCTATTAGCTCCCTTTACTGCTTAAAGGTTCATGTTTATAAGTAGCAAATTAATACTAATGTGCTTCTGGCAGAAGCCAATATGATTATATAAATCTTACTGATGAAATCCCAGCATCAAAATTAAGCTTAGCCATTTTGATTCTGTGTTTTCCTTAGCTGGTGGTACATACCTGTAATCATAGTTGCTCAGGAGGCTGAGATCTAAGGATCATGGCTTGAAGCAATCCCCAGCAGAAAAGTCCATGAGACTTTTATCTCCAAGTAACCACTCAAAACCCAGAAGTGGTGCTGTGGTTCAAGTGGTAGAGCGCTAGCCTTGAACACAGAGACTCAGGAAGTGCCTAGGCCCTGAGTTCAAGTCCTATGATGGACAAAAAAAATCCACAAAATCTAGTGACTCTTGTCTCCCATGGAATAAGGCTATGTATGTTGGGTCCAGGAATTCCTGTGACAATGACTTGAAGCTCTAAATTTAAAACAGCTAATCAAAGCCAGACATTGGTGGCTCATGTCTATAATTCTAGCTATTCAGGAGGCTGAGATCTGGGACTGTGCTTTGAAGTCAGCCAGGGCAGGAAAGTCCCTAAGACTCTTATCTCGATTGAAGCACCTAAAGAGCTAGAAGTGGAGCTGTGATTCAAGTGGTAAAGCTCTAGCCTTAAGCAAAAAAGCTCAGGAATAGCACCTAGGCTCTGAGTTCAAGTCACAGGACCAGCACCAAAACAAAAACTAAAACAGCTAATCAAAAGAAGTTTCATTCAGTGTAATTCTAAGCAATTTAGTGTAATTCTATGACATTCTGGGTTTACAATTTGTGAGGTTTGCCTTCTGAGTCTTTTGTCTCATTGGCCATCTTTGGCTAGGCAAAAATGTACACCTAGCCAATCAGGATCAGCTTAGCATGTAAGACTACATGCTTTCAAATGTTTAGTTTGTGATTATATGCTAATAATACACACACACACACAGCTTTTATTTTTTTTTTTGCTAGTTGGGGGTGGGGGGATGCTTGAGCACAGGGCCTGGGCCCTGTCCCTGAGCTCCTTTTGCTCAAGGCCAGTGTTCTACCACTTGAGCCACCGCTCCACTTCCGGCTTTTTCTGTGATTAATTGGAAATAAGATTGTCCAGGCTACAGCCTCCTGAGTAGCTAGGATTATAGGCCTAAATTACTGGTTCAATTTTTAACCAAAGGAGATAGCAGTGGAGGGGGGGCTCTACAGGACAGGTTAACTGAGTTTAGAATAAATTCTTCATGCCTGTATTTCTGGTTTTGTTTGGGGAACTCTTCTGGAGTCTTATAGTATCTTTATCCATAGACAATGGCCAAGTTTTAATACACTGATAACCACTATGTCCTTTTTAAAAAAGAAATTGCATTTTCAAAGAATTCCGAAGAAATTGTGTTTTAGTGAAACTATACATCAAAAACAGAGATAAGTCTGGGCACTGGTGGGTATACTTGTAATTCTAGTTACTCAGGAGGCTGAGATCTGAGTATCACAGTTCGAAGCCAATCCAGGCAGAAAACTCTGTGAGACTCTTATCTCCATCGAACTACGCAAAGCCAGAAGTGGCACTGTAGCTCAAGTGGTAGAGTGCTAGCTTTGAGCACAACGAGGCTCAGGGAGAGTGCCCAAGTCTTGAGCTCAAGCCTCAGAACTGGAAAACGATGATGATGATGATGATGATGATGATGATGATGATGATGATGATAAAATAGAGACATGAAGTATATTTAGAATGAAATTCATGATTGTCCACAGTCAGAGAAAATGAAAAATGTATCCATTTCATTGTTTAGAAATAATACTCACATTTTCCAAAGGATACGAGATGACATTTGCTGTGGGAAGGGCCAGTTTGTCTATTCCTTTCACCATTACCATAATGGTAGCCCGGGGCCTGTGGAATAGGTTACCCACTGCTAGGCCAGGCCAGGAAAGGTCCTAAAGGTTGAGAAGCACAAAAGAATGCTTAGTTATCAGCTCATGAAACCATTTTCAAATCCATTAGTCATACCTAGGAAGCAAAGTTATGAGATTCTGGGGCCTGGCACTGGTGACTCCTAGCTACTCAGGAGGCTGAGAGCCGAGGGTCATGGTTTGAAGCTAGCCAGGGCCAATTAATCACAGAAAAACTGTGAAATGCAGCTGTGGCTCAAGTGGTAGAGCCCTAGCCTTGAGCAAAAGTTGCTCAGGGACAGAGCCCAGGCCCTTGTAAAAAAAGCCCCAGGACAGGCAAAGAAGTTCCAGGCCTTAACATTCAAAGGGAAAAGTAACATTTTATTTAAGGCAGCAGTTATACAATCTCCTAACCTAGGATGTCGAATACCAATTTCTAGCTTCTTTATTTTCTTAAACTTCTATGGAGATTAAAAAATCTAATTGAAAGTCATCTCTAAACATCTGCGGAAAAGAGTAGACAAGTAAATAAAACATAGCACTTTTCAAATTCCAGATTGTAAAACACCCTTTTCTTCAATAGCCATGAATGTGCCCTTCTATTTTTTTTGGTTGGTGGTGGGGCCTGAACTCTGGGCCTGGGCACTGTCCCTCAGCTCTTCAGCTCAAGGCTAGCACTCTATCATTTGAGCCATAACAACACTTCTGGCTTTTTTCTGCTTATGTGGTACTGAAGATTCGAACCCAGGGCCTCATGCATGCAAGGCAAGCACTCTACCACTGAGCCACCTTCCCACGCCCAGGTATGCCCTTCTTATAATTATCACTCTCCAACCGCCCCCTCCCACCACCCCTGTCCTGTACAGGTCCTAGGGCTTGAACTCAGGGTCTGTACACTGTTACTGAGCTTTTGTACTCAAGGTTAATGCTCTACTACTTGAATCACAGCTCCACTTCCAGCTTTTTTGGTGCTTAATTGTAGACAAGAGTTTCATGGACTTTCTTGCCTGGACCGGCTTTGTACTACAATTCTTAGATCTCAGCCTCCTGAGTAGCTAGGATTACAGGTGTGAGACACTGGCACTTGGCTTGATATATTTTCTTCTATACAAGAACGTCACTACAGTGAATAAATAATTACACTGTTAATAATGTATGATTTAGTTTCAGAAGCTAAGCCTGAAGCACTAATACAAAATTTCACCCAAACTACAAATTTGTTGTTTTGCCAGTCCTGGGGCTTGAATTCAGGGCCTCGGTAATGTCCCTGAGCTTCTTTTGCATAAGGCTGGCACTCTACCACTTGAGCTACAGCTCTACTTCTGGCTTTTTCTGTTTATGTGGTACTGAGGAATTGAACCCAGGGCTTCAGGTACACTTGGCAAGCACTCTACCACTGAGCCACATTCCTACCCCCTGAGATTTTTTTGTACTCAAGGTTAGCACTCTACTGCTTTTTGTGCTTAATTGGAGATAAGAATCTCAAAGACTATTCCTATCCTGCTCAGGCTGGTTTTGAAACACTATCCTCAGATCTCAGCCTCCTCAGTAGCTAAGATTATAGGCTTGAGCCACCAGCGCCAGGCTACAAATTTGTTTGTTTTTAGTAGCATTTGTATTCTATAGCAAAACCTAATACTGTCTATTGAATTTTTGGGTATTAGAAGAAATCAACAAAATGTTTCTGCTTGCTTTTTTAAATTGACATAGATTAATTATACAAAGGAGTTTTACTGTGATATGTCTATACATGCATATGATGTATTATCAAATTCACTCCAATAAGAATGTTTTTATAAGGAGTTACAAACTTTGTTTTTAAGTACATGTACCTCTTTGACAGAGAAGCCCATGGATAACGCAGCAACGTCTGGGATTCGATCTCCTGGTATAGGCCAATTTCCATTTCGGAAAACAACAGATCCTGGAGATCGTAATATACTAAACTCATTCCCCAAAACACCTGAAAAGAAAATAGATTAGTAAATGAATTATCAGCATATAACTGTTTTTTTGTTTTTTTTTGGGGTCCAGTCATAGGGCCTGAACTCTGGGCCTGGGCGCTGTCCTTCAGCTCTTCAGCTCAAGGCTAGCGCTTTACCACTTGAGCCACAGGGCCACTTCTGGCTTTTTTCTTTTTGCTTATGTGGTGCTGAGGAATCGAACCCAGGGCCTCAGGCATGCAAAGCAAGCGCTCTACCACTGAGCCAACTTCCCAGCCCAGCATATAACTGTTTTGAACCCACCATAAAGATGATTAGACAGAATACATGTACTGCCATTCATCACTGCCTTAGCATATTAAATTGTGATTGGGCAAAATGTAGACTGCTGAACAATACATTCTTTAGGGAGTAGGAAGGACAGAATCTAAAGCCTCGAGCTTAAACCCACATGCTACCACAGATCTGAAACTCTCCCAAGCACTAGGTCTGAGTTATACACTTAACCTGAGCAATTAATTTTTTTCTTTTTTGAACTCAGGGCCTGAGCTCTGTCCCTGAGCCTCCTTGTGCTCAAGGCTAGCACTCTACCACTTAAGCTACGGTGCCACTTATAGCCTTTTCTGAGTAGTTTGTTAGATAAGAGTCTCATGGAGTTTACTGCCCAGGCTCGCTTCGAACCGTGATCCTTGGGTCTCAGCCTCCTGAGTAGCTAGGATTACAGGTGTAAGTTACTGGTGTCCAGATCAAAAAAGCAATTTGAATCTATTAAGTCTTTCCATGGATCTGAGTCCAATTTTGATGATTGGTTCTTTTCAAAGAATCAAAATAGCAATTTTAAGGATGGGTTCATAACATATACAATATTTAAATTCTTTATTGTGGGTGTGTGTTGATGCTGGGGCTTAAACTCAGAGTCTTATTCATGCTCTCACTTAGCTTTTCCACTCAAGGCTGGTGCTCTACCACTAAAAGCACAGCTCCATTTCTGGCTTTTTGGTTGTCAATTCTTTTCTTTCTTTTTTTCGTTTTCTTTCTTTCCTTCCTTCCCATTTCCCCTTCTCTCTCTCCTCTCTTCTCTCCCTCTTCTCCTCCCTCCTTCTCTCTCTTCTTCCCCCTCCTCCTTTCCCTCTCCCTGTCTCTCTCCTCCCTCTCCTCTCTCTTGTGCTGGGTGGGCCTGCAGCTTGAACTCAGGGCCTGGGTGCTGTCCCTGAACTTTTTTTGCTTAAAGCTAGTGCTTTACCACTTGAGTGCCTTATCACCCCTTCCAGCTATTTTGGGTGATTAATTAAAGATATGAATCTCAGACTTTCCTGCCTGAGCTGGCTTCAAACTCAGATCTCACCCTCCTGAGTAGCTAGGCTAACAGGCATGAGCCACAGGTGCCCAGCTTTAAGTACAATGTTGCTCATCCCCCCCCTTCTCTTTTTAAGTTCAAGTTGGGTGTCCGTGGCTCATGTCTGTAATCCTAACTAAAATCAAGGTGCAAAGCCAGCCCAGGCAAAAAAATGTCTGGAGACTCTGTCTCCAAATATAGTCATCAAAAAGCCAAACTGGAGGCATGGTTCAAGTGGCAGAGCACTAGCCAAGCAAAGCACTGAGTTCAAGACCCCGGAAGCAGGAAAAAAGGAGCAGGTATGACACAAGATTTTCCTAATGATTAAGACAGCCTTCTTATAGATGGCCCTTAACAAGGATGTGTGGTAATTGTGGTGAATTAGAAATTAGTGGCATTTCTCCAGAATTCAAAAGCAAACAAACAGAACACAAAACCCTGGCACACACTAGAAAGGAAGAACTTTATATCTCTGAATCATTTCTACCATCTACAAAAGGAAAACTTGTGGAGCTGGGAAGGTGGCTCAGTGATAGAGTGCTTGCCTTGCATGCATGAGGCTCTGGGTTCGATTCCTCAATACCACATAAGCAGAAAAAGCCAGAAGTGGTGGGTGCTGTGGTTCAAGTGGTAGAGCGCTAGCCTTGAGCTGAAGAGCTGAGGGACAGTGCCCAGGCCCAGAGTTCAAGCCCCATGACTGACCAAAAAAAAAGGAAAACGTGTGCCAGGCACTGGTGGCTCATGTCTATAATCCTAACTATTCAGGAGGTTGAGATCTGAGGATCACAGTTCAAAGATAGCCTGGACAGGAAAGTCCATGAGTCTCTTATCTCCAATTAACCACCAGAAAACCAGAAGTAAGGATGTGGCTCAAAGTGGTAGAGTACTATCCTTGAGTGAAAAAGCTCAGGGACAGCAGCCAGGCCCTGAGTTCAAGCCCCACGACCACCACCACCAACAAAAATAAGACTTGTAAAATTCTAGGATTTCACTATAAAACTTTAGCAGGTTAGTACATCCTAAGATAGATACCTCCAGCTTTCCTTAAGTACCTTAGGCACACCTAATATAGTTGTCCAGTGGGCATTGGGGATAGGGAAGGTGGAACTGGAATGTGTGTGCATGTTACTAGATGGTGAATGAAATGCTTCAAACTTCAGAGACAAAGTCTAGGAAATAGTATTCTCACATCCGGAGGATGAGAAAATGTATTCTCTAATGATTATGTCAACTAGTCTAAGAGTATGCCATCTAGAATTAAAAGATGAAGGATAAAGCCAGATGCTAGTGGCTCATGCCTATAATCCTAGCTACTCAGGAGGCTGAGATCTGAGGATCACTGTTCCAAGCCAGCCCAAGCAAGAAAGTCCCCAAGAGACTCTTAACTCTAACCACCAGAAAACTGGAGGTGGCACTGTGGCTCAAAGTGGTAGAGCACTAGCCTTGAGCAAAAGAGCTCAGGGACAATGCCCAGACCCTACGTTCGAGCCACATGACAAACAAAGGAAAGAAAAAAAAGAAACGTACTCTTTACTTGACTTGTATAACTATAACCTCTCTGTATGTTTATAATATTGATTTTTTAAATGTTAAAAAAAAGCCAAGTGCTGGTGGCTGATGCCTGAAATCCTAGCTACTCAGGAGGCTGAGATCTGAGGATCGTGGTTCCAGCCTAGACAGGAACATCCATGAGACTCTTATCTCCAATTAACCACCAGAAAGCCAGAAGTGGCACTGTGGCTCAAGTGGTAGAGCATTAGCCTTGAGCTGAAGAGCTCAGGGACAGCACCCAGGCCCAGAGTTCAAGCCCCCATGACTGACAAAAAAAAGTTTAAAAAAAGATGAAGGATGAGACTAAAGGGATTAATTTACAACCCCTATAAGGCTAAGAATAGGGTATTTGGCTCCTCGTCCATTATAGGGTTTTTTTGGGGGGAGGGGTGGGGAGATGAGGGGGCGATGAAGATGGAACTCAGGGCCCAAAGAATGTTAGGCAAGAGCTCCCCTGAGCTGATACCCAGCCCACCCATATGTATTATCCTGGGAACAAGTACCTAGTAGAAACTTTGGGCTTCCTATGAAAAGATTAGCACCAAATCCAAAACAAATCTTGGCCATGCAGACTATTGGCAAAACATTTTATTAAGGCATCAGCTGCTCTTTCCTTGCTTAAGGAAAGCAGTACTTAACAAGACAGGAGGACAGAGTCGGGGGACAACAGTAAATGTTTTGGTGGTTGTAATATTGACAGTAAATAAAAGGTCTCAGAATGGTGTGGATGCAACCAGACCAGTTCAGAATTTCAGTCTAGCCCAGCAACAGGGCAAGGGTTTCCAACTTGTTCTAGTCCAAGACCAGAATGGAACCAACAGACATCCAGCCTCACTGTAGTAGTAACACTGCTCAGGGCCTTCAAGAAAAATCCAGAATCTACCACTGGGTGCCTGGTGGCTCACACCTATAATCCTAGCTATTCAGGAAGCTGAGATCTGAGGATCATGGTTCAAAGCCAGCCTGGGCAGGAAAGTCTATGAGACTCTGATCTCCAATAAACCACCAGAAAACTTGAAGTGGTGCTGTGGCTCAACGTGGTAGAGTGCTAGCCTTGAGCACAAAAGCTCAAGGACAGCACCCAGGCCCCAAGTTCAAGCTCTGTGATCGACCAAAAAAAAAGATCCAAAATCTAACACCCAGGCACCTTAGTAGTTTTATTTACAACCTTGAGGAAAACAAGCACAAGAGACCAAGTTCTTTTTTTTTTTGGTCATGGGGCTTGAACTCTGGGCCTGGGTGCTGTCTCTGTGCTCTTCAGCTCAAGGCGAGCGCTCTACCCCTTGAGCCATAGTACCACTTCCAGTTTTCTAGTGGTTAATTGGAGTTAAGAGTCTCAAGGACTTTTCTGCACGGGCTAGCTTTGAACCGTGATCCTCAGATCTCAGCCTCCTCTGTAGCTAGAATTACAGGCGTGAGCCACCAGCGCCTGGCAAGAGACCAAGTTCTTTAATGAACCATACATAGCCACCGAAGGAAGCAAATTGTGATCTAGAGATAGCTTTGCTTTGAGATCTGGCCCTACTATGTAAGTCTGTATCACTTGTACTTAGATTCGATGCTGCTGCTGCTTCATTCCTCCTTTAGGAGCCTTTAGTCATGGGTTCCTCCACCAGGAAGGATCATCTGGTCGAAACTGATGTCCTTTGCTGGTATCAAATGAGATGTCTGAGATGTCATGACCCAAACCTGTAATCCAAGCTATCCAGGAGGCTAAGATCTGAGGGAGTGCAGTTTGCAGTCAGCCCAGGTAGGCAAGTAGGTGAGACTCTTAATCCAATTAACCAGCAAAAAAAAAGTTGGAAATAGAATTGTAGCTCAAGTAGTAGAGCACTAGCCTTGAGGGGGAAAAAAAAAAGCTCAGGGATAGTCCTGAGTTCAAGTCCCAGGATCAGCACCAAAAAAAAAAAAAAAAGAAAAAGAAAAAGATTTCTAGTAGGAAGCCACTCCTTTACTTGAATGGTACTGCTAAGGATTGACATGGTCTCAATTTACAAACATGGTATTTGCCAGTAATTAGCTCTATGGTTCCAACTTCTAGTTCTTTGAAGTGTCTCCTGATCCTAAACTACAATGGGCTTTCTTACTTTGAACTTCCTGCATTCAATCTCCCCATACCACCAGTCTCTACTT